CCTGGCATCCCCCCTACTCCAGCTGTCTGGGCTATTTTGGGCTCCCTCCCGTGCCAGCTGTCTGTTGGCATCCCTGCCCAGTCTCACTGAGCTGGCTGGTGGAGCAGCCAGCAGGCTGCCTTGCATGTCTCCTGAGCCCAAAGGTCCCAGGCCCTGTCCTTTCTGGAGGTACACACCATTTCACCTGCACCCAACCACCACCACCCCACCCCCGCCCTTACACACACCTGAGGGGAGGATCAATGGGACAGACTCTTTAACAGGGGGGGGGGAGGGGGGCTGCATTTCTAATAAACCTTGTTTGGCTCTGCCACCTGAGGGGCTGGGCCTACAGGCTAAGCAAGTGATGGATGCCTGTCTTCCCCTCTAGCTGCACTCCACCCCCCTTAGACTCCCACCTGTTTGTCCACTCCCTCCAGGCTGCCCCTCCCTCTGGCTCTAGCCAGTTTGTCCACTTCACACTGCCCTCAGACCAATTAGAGAGCAATTAGGTGCTAAACTACCTGGGAGGTGTGAGTTCTGGGAAGCCCGAGGTGATCTCACAGGGGAGGTGACCTCATACACAGGCTGGGAGGACCCTCCCCACTTTCCCTCTTGCCCATCCCTTGACTTTCTTTGTCTCTTGGGTCTCCGCCTTGGGGGTGGAGCGGGTTAGGCTCTTCCCATCCTGGATCCTGCTGGCTGTCATTCCTTCTTATCCTGTGAGGGGGCGGGGCAGGCCTCTGAGAGGCAGGTGGCCGGACCTGCCCTACAACTCCCCATCTCACGCCCCATCTGGCGGGCCACCCCGCCAAGAGCTCCAGCGTGGAATGTGGCCTTTGGACCCGGTAGGTGGGGGCAGCAGCCTTGGCCTCAGCCCTGGGCCCTGGACAGTTGTCCACCGGCACCGTCTCAGGGCCACCTGTGTTCAGCGCTTGCCCTGAATGGCTGCTGGCCTGCCCCCTCTGAGCCTTTGAGCTCTGTGGGCAAGAGGAGGAAGGGTAGGGAACTATTTTCAGTTGTCCCTCCTCATGAGGGGAGTGGTTTTGTACCCCAGCTCGGCCCCTCCCCCAAGGGCAGCTGAAACTTCCAGAGACCAAAGATAAAGGTATATATACAGCCAGACAACCCCGCCCCTTGGCCACGCCCCACCTTCTCTGAGGCCTTCACCTGCCTTACACATGAGGTATTGTGCGATTGCTGACCTCTTAGGTCTAGAGCAGCGGTTCTCAACCCCTTTGGGGGTTGAACGACCCTTACACAGGGGTCGCCCGATTCATAACAGTAGCAAAATGTCAGTGATGAAGTAGCAATGAAAATAATTTTATGGTTAGGAGGTCACCACACCATAAACTATTAAAGGGTCATGGCATTAGGAAGGTTGAGAACCGCTGGTCTAGAGGTTTTCAGGAAGAGGACAAAAAGGGTGTCGCATCCCCATCCCAGCGTGGCTGGACCTTGTCCTGACAAGATGGGAGTGGAGTGGCGCCCGAACCCCTCCCTGTGGACCTCGGTGTGAACTCAAGAGTTTACCCGGCTTGAGCGATCAATCAACAACTTTCTGTCCCAACCACTGGTGGCAGAAATCACCATCAGGACTCCTCTGGGCCTTAACCCTTTCCAGGAATTCCTGGTGGCTAGTCACAGTGTCAGGTCTTCTGGGCGCCTCACAGGTAAGGGAGCCAGGGCCCCCCTGGGAAGGGAACCACACACAGCTCCCAGCCAGGCCAGCCTCCTCAGGGAAACCTCGGAGCAGCTGGCTGGACCCTAGGCTATTTTTAGTTAAAGGTCCAACCCTACCAGCACCCAGCTGCAGAGTGCGTCCAGAGCAGGATGGGTGGACGGAGGGGGATGGGGAAGGGGGTGTTGCTGCCAGTCTCCTGGCCAGGCAGGCGTGGGTGAACAGGGCCCCGGCGTCAGCTGCTCTGCCTGGGCCCCTGCCGTCTCGGGAAGACATTCTTGTTTCCTCATTTTGTCTTTGTTCTGCCCTATGAGAAGGCTTCAAAAAACTGGAAAGAAAATGAAATGACAAAATAATAGACTTAGCTCACAAACTTTTTGCGCCCCTGGATGTAGGGGTCATGGCCCCACCTTGTGCAGAGGTGGGGCATTGAGGGCTGAGGGTTTGAGGAAATGGAAGCCCTCGCCTGCACGGGCTGGTGGTTAGCCTGGTTTCAGCCGACAGTATGCCGAGAGTGGGGTGGCCCTTATCCTCCAGCATGACCGTCCCCTGAGCATCAGAGTCTCAGAGGTTCAAGCCCGAGGCAGTCAGAAGTCACCCTAAGCACAGGCTCCCATCTCTGAGAGAATGTCACTCCACCTTGGCTTGGTCCCCAGGGCAGCCTCCAGAAGTCTTGTTGGCAGGCACGAAATTCTGGGGACCTTGCTTCTGACATGGTTCTGGCCTGTACCCCTCCTTTTCTGGTGGTCACTGGAAAGATGGCACAGGCCACCACCACCCCAACTCCTCCCTGGCTCCCCACCTCGCTGGGCCCCTCTCCTACGCCTGAGTGACAAGCCCTCGGTGAGCTAACCCAGACTGTACAGGCCCTTCTGCCCTCATTGGCCTGCCTCCCCTCCCCTCGCTTTCTCCCCCAAACCCCACCTTTGGTTCTGGTCTTAGGATTGCCCACATTCAACTGCCAAACAGCCAACAGCTTCCCCCAGACTGTGAGCTCCTCGAGAGCAGGACATCCGTCACCCACCTCCCAATAAAAACTGCGTGGCAAAAAAGGATCAAATGAGTTGCTGTGAATTTGTCAAAGGGGTGTGTGACCCAGGGGCTGCCCCCTGGCCAAGTACAGCTTGGCCCTCTCGGCAGCAGCTAAAGCCTGGTGTGCCCTGGGGTCCAAGGGCAGGCACTGCTGCCCTCTGGTGGTCAGACTGTGCATGGCACCTGCTGAAAATAAGCCGCCATGTGGGCACTGCCAGGCTGGCAGTCTCCTCCCAGAAGTGAGCCTGTTCTTTGCTGGGAATTTGAAAATTGCAGACCTTCTAGGTGGGGACAGGATCCTGAGTCCTGCCAGCCTTGTCTCTCTGAGGAAGCAGGTTATTTGCCCCAACAGAGCTACGGTTGGTGAGTTTGAGTTAGAAATGGGCTCTACTAACCCAGCTGAGAAGACAAGCAGGCTTCACCAGACACTGTGCCTGCCTGCCTCTGACCAGCTCCAGGGAGGAGTCCCTTGCCAAGCCTGGCCAAAGGCCTGGGGAGTGGAGGGGACAGTGAGTGACCCCAAGATGGCCAGGAGGGGGCGGCACAGAGGTATAGCAACCAGCATGTAATAAGCCAAAAGGATCCTGCCCTCCTAGTTTGTTCTGACTCAGAGCAGACTGCCCCTGTGGGTTTCTGAGGCTGTGTGAATCTGTTGTTTGAAATGAACTTGCACGTCACCATAAGAATCCAAGTCCAAGGATCCAACTTTCACTTTTCTTCCTTTAATAGCCACACAGACCAATGTTTAGATCTAAGGGATAAGGAGTCTGCAGGGTTTTTAAGGCAGTGAACCTTCGCTTAAAAAACAACTTTATTTTGATTTTTAAAGAAAAGCATTCTGTGTATTTGCACAGCCCATCTCATCAAATCGGTAATAATAGCCCATTAAACGTTTACTGTGTTGGTTTTTTTTCCTTCCTATTCCTCACTGCGTACTTTCCTGCCCCATCCTTTCCCTGCTCTTCTTCCATCCCTAACTGCCTCTTAAGTTATCAGTCTTAACCTTTAGTGTGAAAGACTGCTTTTTCTTTTTCCCTTTTTTCCCCTTCTTTTTCCCTTTCTTACAATGATGTTCAGTCTTTCTAATATTGGGGCAGGAAGTCTCGTCTTTCTCATGTAGGCAGCTGGTGGAGTTGAACAGGTTGCTGACCTGGGGCTTAGCAGCCCATCGCATAAACCACGACACCGCCAGGGCAAAGTTCCCAAACCTAACTCCGTAACATCAAGTCAATAACGACTCATAGCGACCTATCGGACAGCCCTTGTGAGTTGGCGAGACTACATTTTTACAGGAGCAGAGAGCCTCATCGGTTTCCAACTGCGGTTAGCAGCCCAGTGCGTAGCCCACTAGGCCACCACAGCTCCTGCAGCAAGTGTTGAATCAGTGCCATTAAAAAAAAAAGAGCGGATAATTCCTGGGGTGGGTGAAGACCACGTAGTTGCTGCAAGAACAGTTTATACTTATTAGGGGACAGGGGTTATCAGTCTTTCCCAAAGTGCACCGAGGCAGGGCTCAGGTGACCTCTATTAGACCACGTGGTCACCCCTAGCTCTGGACAGGGTCAGTTCCATTCCCATGCAGCAGGCCCGCGTTGCTATGGAGCTAACGGGAAACGGGGTGCAGTCGGCAGCTCACCTGTGTCCGGAGCTGCCGCGGTTGGCCGGAAGAGGGCGCCAGACGCCACCCTCCTGCCCCAGGTAGTGAGGGCAGGGGCAGGTAAGCAGAACCCTAGTTCCTTATCCACCCCAATCCGGCACACAGGCGCCCCGAGACACCAGCGGAGCAGACGTGACCCCGCCCCAGCATCTTTCCACCACCGCCACTTCTGGGAAACCGAGGCCCGAGGCAGGCTAGCCTCAGGCCACGCCACATAGCTACTCGGAGCAAAGCCGGGGCGGCAGCTTTACGCAGGGCTGGAGACTGGGGCTCTTCGGACCCGCAGCTGTAGGCAGAGCCCACCAATCAAGGAGTCCCTATCCGACGGGGGCGGCCGAGAGGGCCAATCAGAGAGCCCCGGCCGGAGAAGGCGCCTGCCAATCCCGGGCGCCCGGCGTGCGGCGGCGGAAACAGTCGAGTCTGGCCGGCGGGGGGCGCGCCGTGACGCTTCTGTGAGGGGGTGGTCTCGGCTCTTTGCAGCGACAGAGCACCTCCTTTTGCAGCTGCCTCCGTTTCTCGGGGCCTGGGAGCTGGACGCTCCAGGCAGGCACGCTAGCAGAAAGGACACTGAGGCTGGGAGGCTGGCCCGGGGGGACCGCCCCCTCCAGGCCCCTCCCCCGGTCGCACCCGGGCAGCCCCAGCGCTGGGACCTGGCGCCGCCAGTGCAGCGGGCTCCGCTATGGATGCCCCCGGGGCCCGGGCTCCCAGGGCCGGCCCAGGAAGGAAGGAGTTGAAGATCGTGATCGTGGGCGATGGCGGCTGCGGCAAGACCTCGCTGCTCATGGTCTACAGCCAGGGCGCCTTCCCCGAGGTGAGGCCCGCCGTGGGCTGACAGGTGGGCTGGGGGCCGCTGGGCCACCCTCAGCCCTCTGTCCGATCCGGGATCTGGAACGCCAGGGTCCCCTGAACGCGGACAGGGGGCCTCCACCCACCCCGGGGCGCCCCCTCGGGAGTTCCAGAGCCTAGTGGGGTGAGGGTGCACCTGGGCCCCGCCGGCCCCAGAAAGACCAGCCCGACCCCTTCTCCGGCAGAACTACGCCCCGTCCGTGTTCGAGAAGTACACGGCCAGCGTGACCGTGGGCAACAAGGAGGTGACCCTGAACCTCTACGACACGGCAGGTGAGTGCGTCCGTACAGGGGTCCCACGAAGACGGATTTCCCCCTGGGGATCCCCACCGCCAGCTTCTGGGAGGGCCCAGGCAATCTCCCCGTCCCTCTGGACCCCCTATGGGGCCCCATCTGTGAAAGGGGGTGTTTGGGAGTGCTGAGTGCCAGATACCCCTCCCGTGGCTCCAGAAAGCCGTGGGCGATGCTCCCCGTGGCGCCAGCATTTCGTGTTCCACGCGGGGGTGCGTTGAGCTTCTATGGCAGCGGTTCTCAACCTGTGGGTCGCGACCCTTTTGGGGAATCAAACGACCCTTTCACAGGGGTCGCCTAATCCATCTTGCATATCAGTTATTTACATTACGATTCATAACAGTAGCAAGATTTCAGTGATGAAGTAGCAACAAAAATAATTTTATGGTTGGGGGGTCACCACTACGTAAGGAACTGTATGACAGGGTTGCGGCACGAGGAAGGTTGAGAACCACTGTTCTATGGGCTGCAGCTTCTAGGATTCCTTGTGTGTCGCTCTGAGCCCTGGGTGCAGGCTCCAGGACCCTGGGGCTTTCCAAGATTGGATGGGCTGAGGCTCTGTTGAGGGGTCTGGTTCCTCCATGCTCGTTCCAGCCCATGGTGTAGCATTCGTGGCTGCTGTTCTGGTTCCCACCAGGCAGTGTTAACAGAACAGAGGAGGGATCCCAGAAAGATCATGGCCACTGCAGGTTGAGAATAAGGTTCTGTGTGCTACCTGTTGTGCCTAATGCAACAGGGTTCTGCTCACTGCATTTGAGTTGGAGGTGTTGGGGCCACAGAGTCAATTGGGGGAACTGGGGGAGCCTCCATTTAGTCCCCAGTCCCCTCTGGGCTGAGCCAGTGCTGAGGAGCAAAGGTCCCAGGTCCCCAGGTGGGGCTCTCCCAGACTCTGACTCAGTGTTTAAAATGACCTGGGTGGAACCACTTCTCATAGGGCAGCCCCTCCCCTGACAGACAAGCTTTGTTTGTGGGAGGTGGGGGCCTCCGCTCACCCTGGGTTGAGCCTTCGTCTAGAGCTTCCCCTCTCCAGCTAGACTGCTGCCTGGACATTCCCTGGGAGGATCCGGAAGGGGGCTTCCCCGGCCCTGGACCTCTCCTCCAACCTGAATTTTGACCTCTTTGCTGAGCACTGTCTTTGCCCTGCCCCATCCCATCCCATCCATTCTCAGCACAGAGCCAGGCTCTCTGCTGCTACCGCTAGCAGTCTGGGAAAGTTGGAGGAATTCCCAAGGCTGGACTGGCTGTGCTAAAAGTGTTTGGGGCACTCTGGCTCACATGTGCCGGACACTTTAGGATGAGTGCTAATGGGTCAGCTGGCCCTTGGCTCTCCTAGGCCACTGGGAAGTCAGGGGAGATTTCTCTCCTGCCTCTGCTTCTACTCTGGGGTCCGGGCTGCCTGCCTGCCCGCTTTCCCCCTTCCTCCGCACCCCATCAGACTGAGAACAGGGCCTTTTTGGTCTCAACCTGAGAATGGTGTGGAAAGGCAGCATCAGCCTAGGTGGACAGGAGACCAGGTGCTGGGTATGAGGAAGACTCGGCTTCAGAAGCACTATATGACAGAGGCAATTGGGGTGTGTGGGGGGGCTCCTCATCACCAGAGCCATGCGAGTGTAACACCCTGGTCCATGATGCCTCCTTCCCCAACATCCTGCCTCAGCATTAGCAACCTTCATGCTACCTCCCCTGGCTGTGCCCTTGGCGATGCCTGGGGCTGTAATCAGGGCTAGCCCGGAAACACCCCCCCTCCGTTTTCTCAGCTCTGTGGTGACATCCACCTACCTGGCAGGGCTCCTCCCAGCAGCAAATGAGCTATGCTGCCTTTTGAGCCTCAAGGAGCTCAGGGTGGAAGGGGCTGGCCTCAGAAAGGAGGGGAGGAAATACGGCGGCCTCCTGATGAAATGGCTGGCCAGTGAGCCACAAGCGGGAGAGACCTCGTCATTCCTTCCACTGAGTATGGCCCAGCCCCGTACAGCGGGAGCCTCCTGAGGGGATTGTTGGGTGAACCAATGATGCATCTGCCTGCAGGAGACACTGCTGGGGAGGGTCCTGTGGGAAGCAAGGTGGACAGCTGTCAGGAGGACATGGCGGATAACCAGACAGAGGGGGGCATAGCTGAGCTAGAGAGGAGTCTAGAAGAGGTGGCTGTAGGAGGTTCTAGAACCCTCCAACCCAGCAGTGACTAGAGCAGAAGGGTTTGTCCACATGCGCACGCATGCATGCGGCTGCCCGGGTATGTGGGACGCAGGGCATACAGAGCCCCTGGCGCTCAGAGGTGAGGGGGCGGAGGCTCTGAACACTGCAGCCCTCAGCCTCCCCTGCAGGGCAGACACCCTCCGAGGCAGGAAGTTGTGGTGAAGACTGAAGTTTCCTGGGCCGAGGGGAGGTGGGGGTAGAGGGGAGCATTAAGACACCAACTAGACACACAGTTCCTCTGGGCTCTGGGGTGGGGTCCAGGCTTGGGGGTCAACAGGAGGGGTTGCCCCCTTCCTAACCAGAGGCGAGAACAAAAGGAAAAGGGGGCAGAGCATGGCTAACAAGTTGGGTGTCCTGAGCCAGAGAAGTGGAGAGCCTGGAGACCTGTGGGAGCCACGTGTGTGGGTCAGTCAGAATGCGGCTTTCCTTCTAGTTGGGGGGTGGGGATGGAGGCTGACGCAGCCCCAATTCCTACCTATGGGGAGAAGTGCAGGTGGGTGGGACCAGCAGAGCCTGTCAGAGTGGGTTCCTCTTCTGGCAGCTTCCCCTTCTCTCACTGCCTGGACCGCTCCCTTGACCAACGCCCATCTGGCCAGGAACCACCTGCCTGTCTTGAGGGTACCCTTCAGCAGTTTGGGGACCACTGTGGCCTGAGGGCACCCTTTCCCTCCTCAAGCCACCTCTGGGCTTCAGAGACTCCAGGCCCCCCAAGAGATGGCTGCTGCAGCCAAGTTCCACCCCACAGAGGAAACGTGGGGTGAGGAGAGCCCGAACTTCCGCTCGTGCTCCGCCCCTGCCAGCCTCACTGAGGTGGGTGGCTTCGAGGTCCAGGGACCTTTCCTTATGAGGAACAAGTGCTTCCTGTGCACACCAGCTCCGAGACTCTCTGGGCCTCCTGAGCTCATCCAAGAGGTCAAGGTGGAGTCCAGTGTCACTGTGGCAGGTGGCTGGGTCCCCTAAAGCTTGGTGGCATGAGATAGATCAATTGTCTTTCTATGGCCTTTCTGGCCATGGTCTTGTAGCTCTCACCAAAGGATTGGGGGACACTATGCAAATGAGGTGCTCGTGGCCCACCAAGGGGATTGGACAGCTCGCTAAGAATGCGAAATGGTTGGGATACTCTTGTGGGCGTGGAACTCTGCAAACAGGTGTATGATGCCCTAAAAGAGGGGATTGGTCAGTTTTGCTGCCCTGCTAGGCATAAAATGAGCCAGCCCAGGGGCAGACAGGGAGACATCCCTACCATTAAGAAAACATGAACCAAGGGTGTCCTTTGGACCTGGGTTCCCTGTGCTGAGAACCTCCTAGACCCTAGACAGAGAGAGTGAGTTGTAACCCTGGAGACAGCAAGCAGCAGTGGTCGCAGAACCAGGAGTCTGGCACCAGATGGTACAGTGGGCTTCCGGGTCCACAGAGTGAGGCAGTTACAGTGGGGTATCTCCAGGCAGATCTAGGTGCGCTGACCCTCAGAGCTAGAGATCTGAGTACCTTCAGGTCAAGGCTCGCTGGTGGAGTGGGTGCCTGAAGGCCCTTATTGGTGGCTCTGAGAAGCTTTGCCTGAGCAGTGTTACCAACAAGAGGTTCTCCTGACTGAAGAACTGTATCCTGAGTGTGTCTTGGTCTTGAATTGTAAACCCGGAACTCCCCTAGTCAACCCCGTAAGTGTTATGTATTACCCCAGCTCCCTGTGGTGACTGTTGTGAATTCTCAGTCAGCAGAGGAGCATTGTGCTGGTGGTCAGAACTGACCATCTCATAGGCATCAGCTTTGGGCTGCTGTTCCTCATGCTTAACACACACACACACACACACACACCCTCGGGAAGTGAGAACTGGTCAGGCACCCCCTGAGCCATTTCACACGTGGCATCAGTATAGTTACACTGGGGGTTAGTAATAGTATCATTGTGGGTCCCCCAAAGCTTGTGGGTCCAGAGAACCCAGGATGACTGCCTCCCCCCGCCCCGCCCTCCACTGGGGCTCGTCAGTGAGGCTTGCTCCCTACCCTGGGGGTGGGCTGGGAAAGCTGCCGCCTGTAGGTAACTTGCAGGTCGGTATTTTGAAGTCATAGGGATCCCCCTCACAGGGTTTCCGAGGCTGTCACCTTTAGAAGACCAGATGGCAGGGTCGCGGGTTTGAACCACCAACCTTCCCGTTAGCAGCTCAGCACTTGACTGTAGCACTGCCCACCAGGGCATTCAACTGGTCCTGCTGGGAGTCCTTTGTTATTGAGAAAGCTTCCCCTTATCTGCGTGACCTTGGGCATCTCACTCACTCCACCTCTCCCTGCGCTGGAGTTCCAGTATGGCACCTGCTGAGTTGAGGCAGGCAAGGGCCTTCAGTCAGCTGATCTTGGCACTGGGGACTTGAGCTGGCATGCCAGCCGACCTTGACAAAGGTCCCCTTAAGCCTCCGCTTTCTTGGGCTCTTAGGGCAAAGAGCTCCACTCCACACCATGGCACCTTCCCCACCCTGCTTACCTGCGGGGCAGCTGTGGGAATCAATGCAGGGCCCCTCGGCGAATGCCCTTGTGAAGGGCTGCGCAAGTCCCCACGGCACACAGGGCCGGCAGCTGCCTTTCATTCACGCTGGTTGGCACATTGTCCATTCCCTCCAGGTGCCTGTATGCCAGGTGCTGCTGGACCCCAGGCGGCTGCCTTTTTTGGGCGAGCCGCCAAAAAAGAGGAAAGTTATCGTGTTGAGGTGACATCACGCAGTGGTCCGTGCGCTGAAGGAAAGTGAAACCATGGTGGGGGTGGAGCAGAAGCTGAAGGAGGCTGTGGTTCCCACCGAGGGCCTTTGTAGGTGGTGCCAGGAGGCGCACCCTTTCTGTCGCGACCTGAAGTGGGGGAGTGTTCTAGAAGCGGGGACCACCCACCCAACCCTTCAGCAATGCACTGAAGTTCTGCCTGTTGGGGAGGGGACGGGAGGCGGGTGGCAGTCGGCCCTCCTCTGGCTGCCTCTGTAGCAGTGTCCATCTTGCAGCCCCCTGGCGCAGGGCTTAGGTTTGGTTAGGGTTAGGGGCAGGCAGACATGGCCCCTGCCCTCATGGTACTGTCTGGGGTAAGGGGACAGACGGGACATAGTGAGGTGGTGAGGCCACGTCTTCAGAGAGACTTTGGTCCGGCAGGAGTGAAGGGCAGACTCCCCACTCCCAGCGCCACAGGGAAGGGTTCAGGACGGGCTCCAGTGAGGCCCTCCTTCTTTATGCTGTATTGGCTCCTGGATCAGTAGAGGCAAAAAAAGGACTCGGTGGTGCCATGGTTAAGCCCTGGACGGAAAGGTCTGTGGTTCGAACCCAATAGCCTTGGAAACCGCTACATAAGGACTCAACGGCGGGGCTTGCTTTGGGTGGGTTTAGTGGGGAGGGTAGCAGAATCCAAATGTTGGATCAGCCCAGTGTTGATGCGTGAGTGTGGTGGGAACACCGTCTATCAGTACGTGTGCTAGGCAGGCCTGGCCTTGGAGCTGACCCTCCTTGTGATGGCCTGTGTGTCAGGGTAGCCTGGTGCTACCTGTGCTTTTCAATGGCTGGTTCTCAGATGTGGATCGGCCTTTCTTCCCAGGCACTTTTGAGGGGGTCTTGAGTGTTCAGCCTTTGGGTTGGCAGTGGGGGACCCAGGAACAACTCCCCCCGCCTCCCACTTTTTCTTAAGAAACACTGACCCATCAAGGGGCCGAGGTCGGTGGCTCAGAGCTAATATGTGATGTATGGATTTGGTCTGGATTGGGAAGGGAAGTTTGCACAGAGACAGGGTACATGGGGAGAATGCACAAACTCTAGGAGACCCTGGAAGTCTGAAATGGTCAGTGTAGAAGGGTGCCCACACCGCTTACAAAACCCACTCTTTTTTTTTTTTTAGTTCTTTTTTTTGTTTGTTTGTTTGTTTTTATAAAACCCACTCTTGTTCTAGCTCAGCCACCAGTGGGTGCTGGGAGGGGCCCTGGCCTCCGGATTCCTAAACTCTCCCTTGGGGGCTCCAGCTACAGCCAGGATGACAGCCAGTGTCCATGGGGAGACCTGGGCTTGAGGGGTGCTGATGGGGAATGCGAGAGAGGAGTGGGAACACTGGGCTGGGAAGGGGCCTAGTTGGGGAGCTTGGGATTAGAGGAGAGACCTGGGCAAGGAGGGGTCCTGGGTAGGGACTTGGGACAGGAGTGGGGGCATTTGGGCAAGGAGGGGTCCTGGGTAGGGACTTGGGACAGGAGTGGGGGCATTTGGGCAAGGAGGGGTCCTGCATGGGGAACTGAGGACAGAAGGGGTAAAGACCTGGGCTGCGGAGGGCCTTGGCATCCCTGGTGGGGGATGCCCTGTCCACACTGGGCTGGGCAGTCTGGCCCTGGAGCCTGCACTTTGAACCTGGCTTCCGGGCAGGGAGCATCCACATCAGCAAGACACATAGCTTTTCCAGCTCCCAGCACTAACGGATGGCTTTCATTCCTGGGGTCTCTGCCACCTCTCTGCTTCTTAGTATGTATGGCCCCCTCCCCGGGGAGCCCCACAACCCTTCCCATCCACACAAAGGTCGTGGGCTGTGGGACGGGCAGGGAGCGCCCTCCTGAGCTCTCTGTCCTCTGCTTCCAGGACAGGAGGACTATGACCGGCTGCGGCCCCTGTCCTACCAGAACACCCAGCTGGTGCTCATTTGCTATGACGTCATGAACCCCACCAGCTATGACAATGTCCTCATCAAGGTGAGGCCCCCTTCCTGGGGTGGGGGGCCGCCAGCAGCCCCCCAGCCCTGACAGCCCATACGCTTCCCCTGCAGTGGTTCCCCGAGGTCACCCATTTCTGCCCGGGCGCCCCCATGGTGCTCGTTGGCTGCAAGACGGACCTGCGGAAGGACAAGGAGCAGCTACGCAGGCTTCGGGCCGCCCAACTGGAGCCCATCACCTACATGCAGGTGGGCAGCGGGCATGGCGCGGGGACACTGCCCCTCCCCTGCCTCCCACCGTTGGGGCGGGGAGCCCGAGTGGTTTCGGGGGAAGCTGGAACAAGGGGCTTCTAACAAGGACATTTAAAATCCTTCCTAACGTCAGCCGCCTACACCGGGCTGAGCATGGCTGCCTCCATGGAACCCTTGCCCCAGCACAGCGACTCTTAGTGGCCCCCTTGACACTGGGGCCAAGTAGCGGCCCAGAGAGGCCCGCAGCTCGCCCCCCCCCAGACCTGCCCTCTAACCATACCCCCAACAGGCCCTGCTTCAAAAGTAGCCCCCCCCCTCCCCCCAGTTACAGGCAAAGCTATGCATGAGGCACTGGAGTCTGGAATGTCCCATGACATCTACTTGCCTAAAACCCAGGGCTCTCTCATCAACTGCTCCACAGGGGTCCTGAGACTACAGAGCAGGCAGCCCCATCTTCCTTCCAGGGAGAGGCGAGTGGACTGAAACTGCCAACTGTCCACTGGGTACCCTCAGCACGTAGCCCACCATGCCGCCTGCGAATCTAAGGAAAAATGAATTTTAAAGGGACTAATGCACATGTTTAAGATAAAGCTTTAAAACACAAAACAAAAACCTTGTCGTGCCAAGCTGAGATGCCTCACCAGTACTTCCAGAAGTGAGGCGGGGTGGGGATCTAGGCAGCTCTTCCTAATTTCACAGGCAGGTGAGGACCCTTCTTGGTGTGCAGCCTAAAGCTGGAGGGGGCCTGGAGGCAAGGACCTCACAGGGGTGGGGAGGAACGCCCCACTGGGTACCCCTCACACTTGTGCCTCCCTGCCTAGGGCCAGAATGCCAGCGAGCAGATCCGGGCCGCGCTCTACCTGGAGTGCTCCGCCAAGTTCCGGGAGAACGTTGAGAACGTGTTCCGAGAGGCTGCCCAAGTGGCCCTCAGTGCCCTGAAGAAGGCCCAGCGGCGGAAACGGGGGTTGTGCCTGCTGCTCTGACCCATGTGCACCTCCCTGCCAGGACTGACAGGGCCCAGGCTCGGGCCACACCCAACTCCCTCACAGGGTTCCGGAGTTGGTATCTGCTACCTGTGGCTGGACTCTGGGGTCCCAAGGGAACCCACTCCATTCCCGACAGGGACTTTGGACTATAGTCTCACTTCCAGGCTTGCCCTGGAGCCGGGGCCCCGTGGAGGATGGGGCACGGGGTGCTCCGAGCACATGCTCTGTGGGGTGGGCCCCCTTTGTGGCTTCCACCTGCCAGGCTGGGCCCCATCTTTGCACATCGGTTTATGCTTGAAAGGAAACCCGGCGGGCGGGCACGCAGGCAGCTGTGGGCTCTGCAGGCCGCCTGCTCCCCGGGCTCCAGAGATAGGCCCAGCTGTCTCCTTCTCCTCCGCTTCTTCCTTCCTTCCTTCCCCCAGGAACCCGGGAGGTGGGGCCAAAGCCTATCAGGAATACACAGAGCACAGAGCCCAGGATGGGGCCGGGCAGGGGGCTCCCACAGCGGTACCACCCACCATTCCCCTGCACAATGCTGGGCACCCAAGCTCCTGGAGAAGCAGTCTGGCAGGCAGAACACCCCCTCGGTCCCTGAGTAAGTGAGCCCTGCCCCAGGACTCCTTACTCCAACCCCAGTGCTGGGAAGTCCAGGTGAAAGGATCCTCCCCGAGAGAGACCAGGTTCTCCTTCAGGACTGGCCCTTTACTTGTCAGCAAGCTGCACCCTGGCCAGCCAGCCTCCACTTGTACCAGGATGTGGGGTTCTAGAGCTGAGGCCCTCCTGGACCCAGAGGGGCCTCCCCCAAGATGGAGCGTGGCCCCAGGTAGCTCCTGCCCACTTACCCAAGGCTGAGCTCCCTATGACCTGTGCCCGTTGAAGCCAGGATGGAGAGGGAAGGGGCCCTCTGAGTGCAGCCCTCACCTGGGCCCTTGCTGGGGGTCTGAGGCCCTCCCTCAGGGGTCCCCAGAGTACTTGGACCAAAGGCCTCTGATTCCAGCAGAATTCAAGGATTTCTACATGCAGGATGGCCTGGGGTAGGGGTTAGCAAGCTCCCGTCGGGCCTGTGTGTCAAATCTGGCCGCTGCTTGTTTTTTGTGAATAAAGTTTTATTGGAACATGACCACACTCATTCATTTCTGTGTTGCCAGCCTGTCCTTACCTGGCAGCTGTGGAGCCTGCACAACCTCAAATATTGACCACCTGGCCCTTCTCAGAGGAGCCCTTGTGGCACAATGGTTATGCATTGGGCAGCTAACCCTTAGACCAGCAGTTTGAAACCACCAGCCGCTCCATTGGAGAAAGATGAGGCTCTCGACTCCTGTAAAGAAACTCACAGGGACAGTCCTACCCTGCCCTACAGGGTCACCATGAGCCAGAATTGGCTTGGTGACAGGGAGTTTGGTTTTTAGTTTGGCCCTTCTCAGCAAGAATTTGCTGGCTTCCAGGCTACAGCAAACCTGAGCGTCCCAAGGGCCAGGCGGTGGCCCAACGGTGGAGGTGAAGGGGCGGTCAGATCTCACCCGCAGGGGCGGGTCTGCAGCAGACTAGCAAGGGCAGCTCAAGTCCCAGCTGGCTGGAGCCCGACTCCCACTGCCTGTGTGCGGGACTGTCAGGTTGCCGCTCCCGTGGAGGGAAAGCAGATACTGACTGGGATCTTGGGTGGCACAGGCTGGAGACGAGGGTAGGGTGTTCAAACGAGCCCACTGGCTTCTCCACTCTTGTCACTGGATGCCAGGTGACCAGACCTTTCCTGGCTCCTGAGTGTGGCCTCTTGACTCCCAAACTCCTCAATATTCCCGGACCTCCAAGGCGGAGGGTTGGCGCAGAGAGTAGCTGATCTCCATCCATGACAGCTGATTCCTGTCAGCCTAAGGGTCTTTGTTCAGCTCCCTTCATACTCATGGCGAGATTTGGAAGAGGTCAGCTGAAGGGTGAGGGTCAGGAACCCCCATGGAGCAGACCCAAACTTGCAATGTCCTACCTATCCACGGGCTGGAGTGCCCTCTGGTGGGGACACTCCGTAAGAACACCCACCCTTTATTCTAGGAGGCCTCTTTCCTGGCGAGGAGGGGAGACACAGGAAGCAAAAAGAGAAGGAGACACAGACTGGTGGTTTTCTGAGAACTTAAATAACCCCAACATGGCAGGCGCTGACAGCAGAAGCAGCATGGCCCAGGGCAGGGTGCTCCCAGGACGAATGGGGGGCACCATTCACCCCTGTGCCCGGGACCCCGTAAGTGGCAGATCGGCGTAAGTCCAGCCCTCACCTGAGGGGCTCAGGAGGGTGGGCAGAGGGGGCTCCCTGAGGCGTTAGGTCCCTCCCCAGGAAGACTGGCTCAGGCCGAGGGGAAGGCCTCGTGTTCTGGGGAGCTGGGGGACCCGGGATTAAATATGCTTATAAATATGGGGGCTGGGTGGGCGAATACTGCACGGACAGGCTGAGCTCCCACTTCTGCTCCTGCTCCCGTGACTCGGCCTGAGGCCACTGCAGCCAGTAGTCTCAGCTGAGGTCCTCTCGGCAGCGGGGTGCTGACCAGAGTCTCCTGCAGTCCCACAAAGTCCAGGGGCCCCGGGGGCGCCTGAGGCCCATGGCTCATGGCTTCTTGGTCTTGTTTCTGTTCTTCTGGAGTTTGGTGTGCACAACTTTGAGTGTGGTCAGGAAGTTGCCCAGGAACAGGACGAGGAATGTGAGCGCCAAGACAAACACCTGGGGGGTGGGGGGCACGAGAGCAGGGGGCATAAACCAGATGCCTCCTGTACCCAACACGAGAACTCCCAACCACAGAGCCTCCCCCTCCCCTAAAGGTCCTTCCAGCAGCAAGGAGACACTTGAAGGGGAAGGGGGTGTGGTCCTGAGAACCAGGCAGGGCCTGGAGGCCCTAGAAGTAGTCACCAGGAGGCCAGGCCACAGCCTCTCTGGCGCTAGATGGGAGCAAACCACTGAGAGATTGTTGTTCTGCTCAAGGCTCTCCCTCCCCAAAGCACCGGTCCCCCATACCTGCCATTCTTGGCATTCCTCGTGGCTGGAGAGCTCAAACAACGTGAAGGCATTGTAAAGTTGCCAGAACTGGAGAGAGGGGAGACAGATGCTGCTCACCTGCCCTCCGGGAGGCTGCCCCCACCCCACTGGCCCAGACAGTGATGCTGGAAGCAGGTACTTGGGCGGGCGGGTGTGGGCTATGCTGCATTCCTTGGCATCCCAGGACCCAGAAGACTGAAGGCTTTCTGTCACCAGGGACCTCCTACAACCCCCCACCCCCAGGCCAGGGCACTCACGTGACCGCAGAAGAGGAAAGGCAGGAGGAAGGTGAGACCCCGCCACATCCAGGACTGGAAGCCTTCTGGGGGAGGAAGGGCCAGGGAAGGGCACAGTGAGGGACAGGCTGCTCCAGCACCTGCCAGCCACCTGCAGCCCTGCCAGGCCAGGTGGTGACACCCCAGAGCGTGGGTGACAAATGAAGTGACAGAGTATGTGCAAAGCGCTTGTCCCCAGGCCTGCAGCCTCTTAGGCATCAGGTCACCATGCTCCCCACTCCTGGAGGACCTGGGGGCAGGCACTGGGTTGTCACTGCACCGGCTCGCTTCACCACTCAGGCAGTGCCACCAAGAAAGCTTAGCAGTGACCCACCTCTCCACATCCCCCCAGTGCCCACCCACCGATGCCTCAGTCCTCTGTGCTGTGCTCCTACGAGGTTGGAAGCCCAGGATGGAGGGTCGGGGTGGGTGGAGTCGAGGGAGCCTGGCATTAGGGCCCTGCTACTCACCCACCGTGAGGTCCAGGTGGTTCCGCTCCCCAAGGGCCCGCAGGCGGTACAGGCAGCCCCGCTGGTAATAATATTGTAGGAACTGGACGCAGCCTGCAGGGGGCGCACAACACCCGTGCTAAGGCCTGGGAATCCCAGAACGCTGTGCCAGGCTGCTTTGCTTGAAGCATTTCCTAAAACCTCTCAAACCTCTCCCACTCCCAAAACACACACTCTCTCTCTCTCTGCGCCCCCCTCCCCGTGATGATTCATCCTTTACCCTACGGGGCGGCAGTTCTAAGTCTGGATGGTTTAATGCATTACACAAGCTCAGCCATCTCAGGACCAGAGCTGAAGCTCACGGGCTGCCTCAGACGCGCCGTGGACACTCAATGGGCGCTGTGTGCCCTGCCCAAACCTGCCAGAGCATGGAAGGTGGTGTTCAAAGACCAACAGCAAGCTCTAAGCTGAGCTCTCATCCAGGCAGCTGCCCCCCAGGTGGACTCAGGTGTGCAGTTGGTGCTGCTCCAAGGGGTTTTCAAAGCCAGGAACCAGCAAACCAGCGGGCAGGGAGGGCCACGGCCACCCTTTCAGGTAAGTGGGCAAATGAGCACTTTCCCCTCTGGATCACCAGGTACCTCCAAATATACCTTACCTGGGTTATATGTACGCATGTATATATGAGTATGACCAAAATATACCTTACACAGGTTATATGTACGCAGTATGTACGAGTGTGGTAAAAATATACTTTACATGGGTTATATGCACACATGCATGTACAAGTGTGATAAAAATATACAGTACATGGGTTATATGTACACATGTATGTACGAGTGTGGTAAAAATATACCTTACGTGAGTTATATTTATGTACGAGTATGACCAAAATATACCTTACACAGGTTATATGTACGCATATATGTACAAGTATAACCAAAGTATACCTTACACAGGTTATACGCAC